CAGCCCACCCCTCGTCGGCCCTCCCTCCCTCTCGCCCGTGGTTCTAGCCTCTCGCGCTCTCACGTACACCAGCCGTGGGAGAGGGTGGGTTGTATGAAACACCCTATATGTATACCTCTGTCCCTTGCGAGCCGTGAGTCTCGACCGAACCCAACCCGACAAGCAACCCCTAAACCAGAAAACTCTGAGCTCTCGTTCTCGTCCCGATTGGAATTCTCCGAGTTCTAAACTGAATTTTTTTTTTGTTCGCCCATCTTTGTATAAATATATTTTTTCTCTGCCGTCTTCTCTCGTGGGACAGTGTGTAACGCAGTTTCCGGCTTCTTTGTCAAATATTTCCGGTCGCGGAGTGCCTTTAGGAATTATTTAATTAAGATCCAGTTTTCAGATTCAATCCTCAAGGTCATCGTTAGGATGGACACAGGTTGCGCATTCGATGGTAGAAACGTGAGGAGTAGGTAGTAGAAAATGCGGGGCTCACGGTATGAAGAAGTGAAGGTTCTTGGGTAATTTTTAAGGCACGTAAAGCCAGGCTCACACACCTGAGTCTAGATGGCGGATATCGCGTAACGAAAATAACGAGGATCTCCACGGGTAATCTGGTTAATTTAAATACAACAGTTTTTTACGGGATATCCCAAACAGGAGAAAAAAAATCAAGAAGAAGATTTCAGCTCTGGATTTATCGTTCCTAATACAAAATATCTTTCTACGGTAGGGATGCTCGGTGGAAACACCACTTTTTTTGGTTTACATGTGTATTCAGTTAATATTTTTTTAAATTCTGCAAAATATTATATACATGCATATTGGGAGTCGACCGAGGAACAGAAGCACGCTTCTGTATAACTTATGCAAGCAAGCAGGCAGTAAGGGTTGCACGAGGTAGGCATAAGGGGTTGCCGCCAGGGGCTGTGTTTGTTTTCATTGGACCACATAGCGTGACACGTTTGCGTAATGCGGGACGCGTCCTCGCGCCCGTGTTCGTTCCTTTCATTCTATTCGTACAGTCGCTACACCGACTGTGTATAGACGTTGTGCTTTTCCTACTATATTTTACTCCGTTATGATTGTCTCGTTTTTTGGCTCGTAGATAACTCGCGGAATCCAGTGGGCGGTAACTCATGCGTCGTCGGGGCGTCCCGATGCATTTTCCACTTTATTTCTTCTCCCAGGAAAGCGCAACGCTACCAGGAGGAACCAGACGGGTTTCCTTGGTGGGCTGACAAAAAAGATCAGCAGAAAAAGTTCACGCCGCTGAGATAAATGCATTTCGTATTAAACGCGACGGAAATTGAGTGGGCTCTTGTGACTGTTAACGTACGTTTTTTTAACAGGAAATTCAAAAAGGTAAAAAAAAAAGCATAGGAACAAATTTTCTTAAGGAAATATTTATGTGAATAAAACGATCGGTTAGACCGTTTAGTAAAATTATACTAAAAATGTTTTATGGGTACTTAACTTATATCAATTAAATTATTGTTTTTTTCTATAACTGTCTAACTTATTGTATGAAGAACATCTATTAATTTAGTAATAGAACGTTGGTCACTGCTAGTTTGAAAATCCCCGCGTCAACCGGAAGGCAATAAACAGTCTGATTATTAATTCGCATCAGGCTCAGTAAAACACGTACTTCCGGTCGTCCCCACTCCAATCTCTCAAGATGGAGTACCATGGAATTTGTTCACGATCCAGGATACTTCCGGTGTGTACATAGCAAGAGATACATCCGTTAGATATTACATATAGATATATTAACTCAAATATATATTGTAACGTATACATCCGAGGATATTCGTATCGCGGTAATAATAAGATCCCGCTAACCCGAATAACCCTAAATATCAAGTAATAACAATTCGTAGGCATCGCGACGCTCAATTCTTCCGCACCTCTCAGGCCCCCTGGCCTACCGTTGACGGGTATATAAACGGCGACGTTTCACGACTCGAGCATTCTATCACCTGAGCTAGCTAGGTTACCTTTAGTATAGTAAACGAGCAAACCGTCTCGGGTAGGGAGCAAACCGTCTCCTCTGCCAGATAGAATCAATCTCTGCATATCAGTTGGGCCGTCACTTTGATACACTTGATCATTGTGCCGTTTCCGCTACACATGCCATCCTAACTTTATCTAAGGACTTGTACAACTAGCTACTTTGCGAATGAGACTTCTCACCTCGCCAAGATAGCAACGTTGTTTTAGATAGGACCACGTCTACCTGTGATCACGAGTTCCCTTGTGGAAAACTGCTCAACAGCACGACGCTTATATTTTAACGAGTCGACTCTGTAATCAAATTCCGCTGGTCGGAGGCTGCTTTCAGACACGATTCTATATTTTATTGATACAATCAAAATAAGAGCCAATATAGAATCACACGAGATTAGAAGTTTACCTACGATTTCCGTCAGACATATCGTATAGGTAAACTGCGTGTAACAACCGTATTAATACAATTGACTGTCCGATTACTAAACCGTTGTATAGACCATTTATAATCATTCTCACTGTCCGCTTACATTTATATATATTCTTCGCTTACTAACATCCAGCATTCTCTAGGCTGGACCTACACTAAAACCTATTGTATTCCGTTGTAGGATAATATATTTTCTTTTCTAATTTGTAAAACAAAATCTCACTTTCATTTGTTCCGTCTGATATTTTTCCTAAATTCCTAACAGTCGATTCTGGCTCGAACCCGCCTTTTTGGCACGATCCGGAGAACCGTATCGTGCGAATAAGGTTACAATATATATATATATATATATATATATTTTTTGACGCTCTTTTCTAATGGATTAA